AAGTTTGGTTTCCAGAGCCCACATCAAGCAGATCACAGCCTCCTGTAACTCCAGCTCCAAGGAATTCAACATCCATCTCCAGTCTCTATGGATACCCACACACATATGGGCATATGCTCATATAAATACATATACACAAATAAAAATAAATCTTGAAAAAGAACCTTCGCATATAATAATTCAATAAGGATCTCTTATTTATGTGTGCAGATCCAGAAGCCAGCCTCCAATGTTGGCCATCAGGAACTGTCAACTTTGTCTTTGGAGACAGGGTCCTTTGGAAGAGTCTGAGATTCATATAGTAGCCTAAGTTGGCTATCCAGAAAAACCTAGGGATCAATCTGTCTCTGCCCCACCAATACTGTGAGTACAAACACACACTACCACATCTGGCTTTTTACATTGGTACTGTAGATTGAGCTCCAGTCCTCACATTTGCACAGCAAGCAATTTACAGGAAAAAAAAGAAAGACAAATGCCTGCTTTGCACAAAATATATTGTTTTTAAATTGCATACAACCATATGATAAAAAGAAAGAAAATTCTGCTATTTAGAAAAACAACTAGAAGCCGGGCAGTGGTGGCGCACGCCTTTAATCTCAGCACTTGGGAGGCAGAGGCAGGCGGATTTCTGAGTTCGAGGCCAGCCTGGTCTACACAGTGAGTTCCAGGACAGCCAAGACTACACAGAGAAACCCTGTCTCGAAAAAACAAAAACAAAAACAACAAAAAAAAAACAAAAACAAAAAAAAAGAAAAAGAAAAACAACTAGCAAGATGTTCTTCCAATGGATAAATACATAACATCCGTGCTATACAGTATATGTTGTGACCCTTTAATACAGTTCCCCATGTTGCAGTGACCTCCAAACATAAAATTATTTTGTTGTTACTTCATAACTAATGTAGTGGGTTTGGCCTAATGCTGCTTGTTTTCTAAAGTTAATTTGTGTCCACAAGATTGTTTGCACAAGAGAGTTCCGCACATAAAACTCTGAGGGATCCTGTCCCCAGTTCATTCTGATTGGTAAATAAAGATGTCCACAGCCAAAGGCTGTGCAGGGCAGACAGAGGCAGGACTTTAGGGTTCAAGGGCTTGGGACCGGGAAAGGAAGAAGGGAGAAGGAGAGCTGCCATGGTGGGAGAATGTGGACAAGAGATATGCTATGACTGAGAAGAGTTAAGGTCAGAGATGCATGACAACCATGTGAAAGAGCCAGAAGAATGTGGCCCAGAGCAAGGTCCAGTTGGGTAGCCCTCTGGGTCCAGAGTCGCCAAGACAGAACACAGAATTTAAAAAGTTGTAACTCAAAAGTATCAGTGGGAGGTAGATGCTATCAATAGTGGAGATTAGGCAATAGCCCAGCAATTGTGCTGATTAGGGCAAATCAAACTATAAAGACTGTGTGTGTGCCTTTCATTCAGAAGCATAAATCATTGAGGTGAGTAGCAAACCTGCCACCTGGCCTACTTAATAATTCATTCAACACTGTAATATTGCTACTACTATAAATTATAATATAAATATCTGATATACAGGACATCGGAGATGCAAACCTCAAAGAGGTCATGACCCCACAGGTTGAGAACCACTGGATAGATGGTCTTTTCTTTAATTTGCTACATTGGCTGACTTATTTTGGATAAGAAAGACAACACACCTCATAAATGATTGGAATGCGATGTCAAGAAAATAGATAGTTAAGTGCTTTTTAAAATGGGGGGAAATCAGATGGAGAAGATGTTCGTGTACTCAGAGAAATCCGAAAAGAAAAGGGTCCACTCATAAAATTGGTATCAGTGTAAGTCTCATGGAGAGGAGAGAGCTAGTGAGAAAGTCCCTGGTTTGAAAGTGTTGAAACTACAATAATGAAAAACAAGATCAAATCTCCTTTTATATTACATAGTACAAAAAGACTTAAATACTTTTTATAAGAACTAATGACCAATAATGCATGCAACATCTTTAGTCATCAGAGAAATCAAAATAAAAAGCATACTGAGGTTCCATCTTACTCCAATCAGAATAGTTATTATCAAGAAAATAACAGCAAATACCAGTGAGAATGTAGGATACTTATGCACAGTTGGTACAATGCAGGTTAATGTAGTCACTCTGGAAATCACTACAAAGAGTTGTCAAAAACCTAAGACACCAGCATTCAATCCAGCTTTACCACTCCTGGGTGCACACCCAAAGGAATCAAAGCTGGCATTCAGCAGAGCTGCCTGTGTTCCCTGGTTTATCTCATCACTATTCATAATAGCTAAATTATTGAATTAGCCTAGCTGCCCATCAACAGATGAAGGAATAAAGAAAACGCAGTAAACTCTAAAGAAGATTGAAATTATGTTTTGTTTTTCGCAAGAAAACAGAATTAAAAGTCATCATGTTAAACAAAATAAGCCAAATACAGAAAAGTCCTGCATGTCTTTTTCATAAGCAGAATCTAAATTTGTCTTAAAGAATATAAAAGTAGAATATGACTATTAGAGAAAGTGTATAAGGAAAAGTAATCCAATATAAATATAATAAAAATATTTTTTATGAATGCATGAAAATATCAGAATGAATTCATTATATTTTGCATTATTGTCATGAATCGAATAAGTAGTGCTCACAAAATGAGTCTGAGCACTGCTGAGACCTGACTCTCAACTGCTACTACAGATGACTTGAATGATTGACAATATTGCGAGGGAAATTAAAGTAAACAAACATTTTCTCAGTCACATTGGTTGAAAGTGAGGTCGTCCTTAAGAGATAATACATATGAGAATCAAATAAAGGAAAAAACAGACAATGGAAGTGAATAATTATAGTAAAGTTGTAAGACTTCCAGACTTTGTAGAACTCTTGGGGGTGGTCAAGAAATCCCCAAAGGATATGAGACAATTGTTGTCTGTTTCAGCAGATGGAATAACCTTAGCTCACAACTGAAATCCATAAAAGTATTTTTGCTTCTATGTACTTCCCCTCCCACCTCCCACATACAGAACCATGATCTTGAACCCCATTACTCATGATAGGATGGGAATGTGAGGTATGTTCATAGTGTTAAAAGTAATATAATTGTATGTGCATAAAAGAAATGCAGGGAAGAATAGAAGGATGAAAATTAGAGTATAGAAAATGATAGATACATAGATGATAGATAGATAGATAGATAGATAGATAGATAGATAGATAGATAGATGATGGACAGATGGGTGGACGGATGGACAGACAGACAGACAGACTTATTGGTGGATTGATGGCAAGGTCCTTCCCAACAGGACTCATCAGAGAAGATAGACACTGTGAGGCCCTCAGCCCAATTCTACAGAACAACTAAAATCAAAATGACTTGTGGAAATTGAAAGGCATGTATAAGGAAGGCAGGAAAGCTCAGATCACAAAGGAGAGTTAAAGAAAAAGGAAACACCTGAGACACAGATAAAGCAGGACAACTTCAAGGACGAACTGCAGATGAACTGCAATCATCCCTGAAAAGCATGGGATGGTCTGAGTCAACACTGAAGGACCTGGCCTGAAATTGCAGGGTGGGGCTACTGATGCTGTGTGGTCTTACAGACAAATCTATACACATATTCCAAGGGTCTCAGGCCTTCATCTCCTGAGATCCCATCTGGAATGTTAGTTATAGCATCCAGACTTGCAAACTCAGCTCCATCCAGGTCTCTGTGGAAAATTAGGGGTCATGAGGCCCGTAGTTTGACTTCTGTTATTTACCAGACCTACTGAGCTTCAGCCCATTTACCAGGAAAAAAAATGCTGCAAGTCTAAGATTCCCACAGCTTCATTACACACAAAGCACAGTCAAGAGTAAATTTGGTCACACATATAAGTAATGGTGCCTTCCAGATCAATGAGTTACCATGTCTCAATGGTGTGTGGCCAACACTTCTGTCAGGCCACCAAAGAAGGGAGTGGGGGGAACAAAAGAAAATAAATGAAGTGTGACTAATTGTAATTAGAGAGAACAATGACCCAGGAACACCCTTTGTGGGAGAGAGGGAGCTGATGTTGAGGGTTTGCTCTCCAGAGTACACATCCAGTCTTCACTGTCTCTGTGCCTCTGACTTCACAGGGCCCTACTTCCTGAATTCTCCTCTGTGCTTGCAGGACTAGTCTTTACTTTCCGTTGCTCACCAAGCTGCTTCTATGACATCCTGTGCACTCATTTCTTAACCCAACAGTACCTTCCAAACCGTAGAAGGGAAGGTAGCTCTGGTAGCCTGTGTGAAGCAGACTTTTTTAGGAATCCACACCATATGCACTCAAGTTCCTCTAGAAGTTAAAACTGTCACATCATCACAGGGCACCAAGTAAAGAAAAGAAAGAAACTCCAAGCAGAGCCTTGTTTTGTGGGAAGCAAGACAGGCAGAGTGGAGCGGATCACACTGGTGTGCCTTTACTTCAGAGCCTTGCTTTTTGTTCAGCGCCAAGCAGACTGTCCAACTGTGTTGTTCTCTGACTTCAGGAAGCCACAGTGTGGCGGCCTCATTAACACTGTCCACCAGATATGTCTAATTTTTTCAAGAAATGTAATATCTTGGAATTTTTGTAGGATTGTTTATCTCTCATTTGTTTTTATCTCACCCTTTGGGTTGTTCTTGAATACTTTTGTCTCCTGAAATATGAGAAACATCCTTAACAGTCTAGGCAGGGGTGTTCAGAGTAGATACATGCTTTCCTGTCTTCCCTTTACTACATCCCACCACAGTAAATCTTGTGTTTCCCTGGGTAGAAGCTGTGGACAGAGACACGAAGCAGAGCACCCTCTCCCTCAATTTAACCATACCAGAGTCACACCAGGAAAGGGAGTACTCCTGTGTTCTAACCACTGAGATATTGAGTGGCTTTGATTCTGTAGCATAAGCTGGCCTGTCTAAATGGCTCCACATATTTCTTACAATACACTACAACTCTCTTAGTTGCTTTTCTTTTTCTCTTTGTTTTGTTTTGCTTTCTTTCTAACTTTCAGTGGGAGGTGGGGCTAGGGAAGAGCACAAACCCAGTCCCCCAACTATCACAAATTATGCAGTTGAGTTCCCTGAACTTGAGGAAATCACAGGGTTCGACATGTCTGGTGTGCAAAGGATAATCATCACATGAGAAAACCACCTTCGTCACCATGGTGCCTATCTTACCCGGTAAGTATCTTAGTTGCTTTTCTATCACTGTGCTAAAACACCATGAACAAGAAAACATGTCCCCTATAGTATCATGATCATATCAACACATATCAATATGTATTCAGGCCACCTTTGAATGTCTTCAGTCATTCATAGTCTCAACACTACTTGAAAGTCCAAAGACTTTTCTGACACTCAAGGAAATCTCTTACCTGTAGCCCCATATAAAATCAAAGGACAAATCACATACTTCCAAATGCTACAAAAGGAAGCTTTTAATTGGGCTTACAGTTTCCTAGGGTTAGAGTCCATGGTGGTGGAGCTAATGCATGGCATGGGAGCACAGAAAGCCCTAGGCACATGAGGTTCTGAGCGAACGTGTGCTGTCAACATAAGCCCTCCATGCCAAGGACCCTAGCATCAGACGAAGGAAAGTAACAAAGCCTTGTCCCTGGGGTGAAACACAGAGGGATGACAAAGCCTTTCTCTGACTGATGTACAGATACCAGTAGTGTGTGCAAAAATCAACCATAGATTTCTTCCTCTTTCCCTTGATATTTTTATGGCCTAAAACCTATTCCCCTACAAAGACCGCTCCTACTGATATTAGCTAAATCTCCTCCTCAATTCAGCTGTATAACATAAACCCAACCTCTTTGTTCAGGTATTTGCAGCAACCTCACATCCCTATTTGAATGTATATTATTCACACCCTGAGCTTCTCTATCTGAGTCCAGCCAACTCAATCTCAGAGGTGTGTGTGTGTGTGTGTGTGTGTGTGTCTGTGTCTGTGTGTGTGTGTGTTCATCCTTTTGCAAACTCCAATGAAGTCCATTTCTGGAGCCATGTTGGCAGGAATAGCTGAGAGGTCACATATTTATCACCAAGTGACAGGCAAAGAAAGTATGCCAGGGATGTTGGGAGGCTTTTAAAACCTTAAGTTTGCTGCCAGTGACACACTTCCTCCTACAAGGCCACAACTTCTAATCCTTCTCACACAGCCACCAACTGAGAATGAAGTATTCAAATGCCTAAGATTTATGGGAGACACCAAATCACCACATTATACTCCTTGCCCCCTATAGTCTCATGGTCATATCAATGCATAGCAATATGTATTCAGGCCACCTTTGAATGTCTTCAGTCTTTCACAGTCTCAACACTATTTGAAAGGCCAAAGACTTTTCTGACACTCAAGGAAGTCTCTTAACTATACCCCTCTATAAAATCAAAGGACAAATCACATACTTCCAACATACAATGGCACAGAATATACATTACCATTTCAAAAGAAAAACCAGGACATTATGAAGAAAGACCAAAACCCAACAGGGCAACCTGCAAATCCTGCCAATCCTATGTCCAAGGTCAAAGGGTTTAGCTATCTCTACCCTTCAAGCTTTTGTTTCCTGAAAGACCCAGCTCTGTCTCAGGTTAGTCATGTTCTCTGTGGACAGCTCTCCTAGGTAAACAGTTCAGAGCGCTAGCATGCCCAACATTTTGGGACCTCCAACTCAATCCAGGTATCAGTTCATTCAATGGCATCTGAGGGCTTCTTACCCACTTAAGACCTTTATGCAGGGACCTTCCTACGACACTCAGAAGCTCTTCTTAACTACAGAGATAGATTCCATAGCCCCTTTACTTATGTATTCTTTGTGAGTCTAAAGCCAGAACCATGATTAAAATGCATCCAAGTTTCACTTTCCACTGGGGAAGTGGGCTTCTTTGTTGTTGGTTTTTTGTTGTTGTTGTTTTTTTGTTTTTGGAACAGTTGGAAGCTTGTATGGGTAGGATCTTCCTCGGAGGGCATCTCTCCCTTTAGTTTCTTATAGATTAGCACCCTCCTCAATTGCCTTATCTCTTTCAGCACAACCCTAAGCTCCAGCCTTTCATTTTCTAGTGTTCCATTTCCCTTCAAACTGAGTATTTTGTATTCCCCTTTTGCCCCTTTTGTATTTCCTTTCATCTTCCCTCAGTAGCTTTAAATGACAGATAGGCAATTGTAATTTTGATACATAAACAAAGTTACAAAAATATAGTTAAATGTAATGTTAAAAAAATGTGTTTTTTTTACATGATAAAAATCCAGAGATAAACAGCTGTCTTAGGTTTCTATTGCTGTGATAAAGGACCATGACCAAAAGCAATGCAAGGAGGGAAGGGGTTATTTTTCTTTTGTTTCTATATCTCAGTTCATCATCCAAGAAAGTCAGGGTAGGAACTCAAGGCAGGTACCTAAAAGTGTGGACTGAAGCATAAGCTATGGAATACTGCTGCTTACTGGCTTGTTCATTATGGCTTGTTCAGTCTGCTCTCTTATTCATCCAAAAACACCTGCCCAGGGCAGCGCTTCTCACAGTGAGCTGGACCCTTTTACATCAATCATTAATCAAGAAAATGCCCTACAGACTTGTCTGCAGGCCAATCCTCTAGGGGCATTTTTCTCAATTAAGTTTCTTGCTTCCTGAATATGTCTAGGTTTGTGTCAAGTTTGCCACCACCATTGTTAATCACTCAGTGATCATATGAGTAAAAAGTTCCTTTCAGCTTTTACTCTAGAGTCTCAGTATATTTGTTTTTCACATTTTATTATCACGTATATGTGTGTGGTGTGAGTACATACATGGAGACCTTAGGTTGACATCAAGTGTTTTCCTTTGTTGCTCTCTGTCCTAATATACTGAGGCAGGCTCTCTCCTTAAACCCACAATTCACTGGTTTTCCCAGGCTGCTGGGGCAAGGGAGCAGGAGGATCCCCTGTCTCCTCCTCATATGTGCTATGATCACACACTCACCAAGCTCTTACTTGGGTTCCTGAAACCAAACTCCAGTCCAGCATGACAAACCCTTGTAGGCTGAGCTATCTCATACAGCTCAACGTATTGTCTTTCCACCTTCATCTTTTAATTTAAGGGATTAAGAAGGGATGTTTCAGGTGAATCCTTACAGTCAAGACAGAAGAGAGGGTTAAGAGGGGGCCTAGCTATCTTCCTTACTGTACACCAAAATAAAATCATTAAGCTAATGCTCCCCTGTAGGGAGCAATTGTAGCTCACTGACAAATAGTTCACCAAATACCTACCTCAGCCTATGAGATAATGACAAGGAGGGAGCTACGATCGAGCTGCAGAATTTTGCCTGTAATTTCAATGTGTTCTTATAATTCTGCTTATAGTGTTTTTATGTTATACTTTTATAAGTTGCCATAATCATGGCAACAGAAAAATAACTAAGACAGAGCTCTGTTTTTCAAGGGTGACATTCTCAGACACAAACCTGGTTTGTGGTCTGTTCTGAAACAATCTCACAGTCATAGACACCGCTTTCATCCCAGTGGCTGAAGTCCACAGGCTTCTTCATAATTCCCAAATTTACCAGTAAAAAGACTGTAGTATCTGCACACAAAAGCTCCACTTGTTCTCAAAGTGTTCTGGGATAAGTCATATTTTACATTTGGATGCAGATTTCTTTTTGACCTGCTGCTTTCCTTCTAGATCAGGCAGATTTCAAAGTGATAAACCCCACAGCTACATTCAAATCCTGAAAATACCCATGGTGGATAGACTTATATCAAACATTCTAATGACTTTTTGATTCTTAATGTAATGTCTCATTTGAGTCAAGGAGTCATGGGACACATATTTAAGGAGTCAGAAAGGAAGGACGTTCACAGGATTGAATGATGATCGTGCTGTTCACTGCTCATTCTCTGCTGTAAGTGGCTCTTTGCTTTCCAGAAGCAGCCGTGGAGCATGGTCTCTTATGCTTGTCCTGCATAGCTCACAGATGTATATACTTATACGCATGTGGATGCACTCACTGCTAATTGCACGAGGGATGATAGAGGGGTGAAACTCATTATATCTAGGTCAACATCTGGCTTCCATTATATGCTGGATGCTGCAACAAATAAAGGAATTCAAAGATGAAATTGCAGTCTTATCTCAGCCTCGCTCTCCCTTGCTCTGATCAGACAGTTAAGAGTATCACGGGGGAATGCACATGCATTGTTCTCTTAAACGGAACATCATACAGAAAAATTACACAGTGTTCTGTAACTTTTTTCCTTATTACATCCCAATTGTTGTTCTATGTCTGAACATTCCACCATCTTATCCTCAATGAGAATGTCACAGCATGGCTGCTTCTATAATTTATGAAGCCGCCCCTATATTGATCAATGCTCACCTTCTTTTATAATATTCCCTATCAATAAAAGTATTTATAATTCATGTATCTTCCATATAAGTGTGTGCGCACATACACACACACACATATATATAACAGATGTCAAAAATGGGAGATAATCGTCAGGGAAATGCAAATCAAAACAACCCTGAGATTCCATCTCACACCAGTCAGAATGGCTAAGATTAAAAACTCAGGTGATAGTAGATGCTGGCGAGGGTGTGGAGAAAGAGGAACACTCCTCCATTGCTGGTGGGACTGCAAGATGGTGCAACCACTTTGGAAATCAGTCTGGCGGTTCCTCAGAAAATTGGACATAGCATTACCCGAGGATCCAGCTATACCACTCCTAGGCATATACCCAGAAGATGCTAGAACATATAACAAGGACATATGCTCAACTATGTTCATAGCAGCCTTATTTATAATAGCCAGGAGCTGGAAAGAACCCAGATGTCCTTCAACTGAGGAATGGATTCAAAAAATGTGGTATATTTACACAATGGAGTATTACTCAGCTATTAAAAACAATGATTTCGAGAGGTTCCTAGGTAAATGGATGGAACTAGAAATTATCATCCTGAGTGAGGTAAGCCAATCACAAAAGAAGACACATGGTATTCACTCACTGATTATTGGATATTAGCCTAGAACCTTGAAATGCCCAAGATGCAACTCACAGGCCACATGAAGCCCATAAAGAAGGAAGACCAAGTGAGGGTGATTCGGTCCTTCTTAGAAGGAGCAACAAAATACTCAAGGGAGCAAATATGGAGACAAAGTGAGGGACAGAAACTGAAGGAGGGGCCGTCTCAAGACCACCCCACCTGAGTAT